TGCATGTAATTTTTTTCCAAACAAAAATTACCGTTTTGATCAAATCGTTGTTTCGTTAATGATCGTTAACGACAACCCTTCGTTAACGATCATTAACATCAACCCTTCATTAAAGATCGTTAACAATGACCCTTCGTTAACGATCGTTTTTTTAAAAACAATCGTATAAAAAATGGTCGCAAATCGTTTTAATAAAAACGATTGTTTTAAAAAAACGATGGCTATTCGTTTTCTAAAAGTTCAAAATGAGTGGGTCGTGGTTAAAAACGATCGTTTTTTTTCGAAAACGAAACAATCGTTTTTGAAAACGAAACAAAACTAGACGCCTAGACAACTAGACAAATAAAAAATAGCTTCAAAAAATTACAAGTTGCAGCTATCTACAAAATTCAATCCCCCTCTCTCTGTTTTGGAATTTCACGGAGCATTGCGCGCAACAGAGAATGGCAACTCCCTATAATTAAGGAACTTATGAAAAAAATTCAAAATTTATTTCCCTAAAAAGTTATTATAAAAATCTTTGTCTTATAGGGATTATAAAGTTAGGAGTAATCCCTCTTTACGCAAAAGTTTCTTCTGCCTTAAAAAGTATTTAAAAAATTTAATTAGAAACTATTAGCATTCTCAGTTGAGAAATTTATAACTTTTAAAATTGGAAGAAATACGCTGTTTGTTTTTTATGTTCTTTTTATATTTTTCTCTTGCTTGGCAAAATGATGTAACCTCTAAAAATGAACTGTTCTTCATGAACAGATACCCTTTGAGGTCTGTAATGCAGTGCAGAAAAAAAAACTAAAATATCTTAAAAACCATTTAGGTAAAATCTTACAGTTAATTATATTACAGCATGACTTTAATCAGAATTTTTACAAAGCAATCTTAACATTAATTGGGATTTTTTTAAACAACTTTGAATAGACCATTTGATATCTTTTTGGTCTTAACTAGTAAAAAATCAATTTTCTAAGTGAATCTGTGAATCTCCCACTCTAAATCCTCTAAATCTCTAGACTGTCTATTCTTTAGCTTTTAACTGAAATAAAGTAGACTTAGAATATTTTGTTAGAAATCTCTACTTTGAGAGTAAGTTTTAAAGAGCACAACAGACTCTGCTTCAGGTCGATAACCAGTGCTCGCCTTGTCAAAATAAAAGTTTTAAAGTGAATTATGAATTTTAAAGAATATGCCATACAGTTAGAAAAAAGCCAAAAAAAAACATAAAATATATGGTCCATTTAGAAAAATCATTTTTAGATGATAAAAATTCATACTTGATGTTGTTTTACCCCAATGCTTCTAAAAATATCTTTCTTTTTCAGGGGCTTGGGGAAGAGGAGGTCATTCAATAGGATCTAAATTTGAATTAAATATTACATTTAATTGCATTGTATGTTTTGCTGGTAAGGCAAAAAAGATAGATTGGTTTGTTGGGAAAAATTGGGAGGAACAAAGGAGATAGGAGGAATGATGTAGATGAAGTTGATATGTTTGAAGGTGGGGGTGGTAGCTGTTGTATCTGATCTATCTATAACCATCCATCTAACTCTTTATCTCTCTTCTCTGCTATCTGGTTGTTTAATGAGCACTATGATTCCGATGATTTATTAATGTTTATAATCCACGATCACATGGGTAGAACAAACTCGCTTAAAGTAAGCCAATTGCGAGAGGCTTAGTGGGATTTCTTAGCAACACTACATGATGGTGTGTGTTCTTTTTACCGGTCGGGCTTGTACTACTTAAAATCCTGGTTCGATTTCAGGGTAAAAAATAGCAAATAACAATTTACAAGATAAACAAACATAGATCTAAATTGAATGATAAATTGATGAATTGATATATCATTAAATTAATAATTCTTGTTTTGGGATATAACCACCCATAAACCAAGCCAACCATTTAAAACCACGCAGGTAGAGAAAAGATAGAAATCCAAGCACCAAGATACAACTGGTGTAAATAAAGGTTTTCTAAAAAGGCATTCATGAAACAATAATACATCATTAAATCATAATATTTTGTTTGCTAGTTGTCATTTGTCATGTGAAAAAGGTCGGCAATAATATAAAACATTTCTTTATGATTTTATAAGTAAAATCCCAAACTGTAAGAATCCCAAATGAATGTTAACCAATGTTGGGATTGGAAGGATTGGGATTAGGATGAGGACTAGGTTGGACAGGGATAAATTGGGAATAGATAAAATAGGTTGGGAATTTGGATGGATACCAACTAAAGAGGAAGTTGGGATTGGGTTTCAATGAATGTGAGGATGATAAAAGGGTTGGAAAATCGGGAGTTGGAGTAATTGGGAAGATTAAGTAATGAATAGATGTTCTACGGGGACCACAGTATTGGAAAGAGAATCAGCAAGATATAGAAGTTCAGAACAGAGATACAGATATAATATAATACGTGTAAAAGACTATGGAGAATATGTAGTTTAGTGGGTACAAATGTTAATAAGGGGTGAAGACGACATTTTGGAAGGAATTAGCGGATTACTGTTAAGTAGGGATAAGAGAGAGAAAAGAGTATAAAAATCATCATTAGAATCATTCAATACTCTGAAACAATTTTTAAATTATTCATTTTGGTCTAATTCAGTCTCAAGTATCTTGCTAAATGACCATAGCAGAATTCCAAGCTACGCCTCGATAATGCTCAATTCACAACAGTATCTATACAAACTTTGCCTGATCAAGTAATGATTATATTCTTAAATTTTATTAATCGAATTTCCTAAATCTGTTTAATCCCATATAGAATATGCCTAAAGAATCAACTTTTAAGAAGTAGGCATGGCCAAAGCTAAAAGACGTTTGGGTTGCCTGGTTTGAAAAGAAGGACAAGGCTAGATTGAGAATTTTTAAGGTTACTTTTTTGTCTTCTCTAGGCTAATTTTGATGTTTGAATTTAGAGTTTATTTCCCAAATAGTTTTAAAACTAATATCACTCATTTTATCTGAAAATATTAATAACAAATTGAATGTACAAAAAAAAAAATGAAACTAATTTTTTTATTAATATTGAAGAACCTTATTTTTTCATTCTTAGTCTTTGCTATGGTTTAGAGATATGTTGTTGATTAAATATTGAATAATTTTTTGCGCGGAGCAGCAAAAAAAAATATAGTTTTATTTGAAATTTTTGGGGAAAAAGTATCAAAAAGAATTTAAAACTTGTCCTTTGATAAAAAGGCTACTTTTATGCCAATAATTCAATAAAACGGTGGCCTTAAGGCTACCAATGCAAAAGGCATTCTGATATCTGATTAGACTACATTTATTAAATGGGGCCTTCTAGAAGAACAGACTAATTAAAATGATGCGCGCCCATGTTTTTTCTTGAAAAACTGATGTGCAATGAAAGAAAAATTTAGCGTTTCGTTCCGCAAAAGTTTTGCGAATGGAAACTGCGCTAAGGTTAAGTGATCACTGTTGAACAAATAAGATTAAGATCTCCCCTCCTCTAGATCATTTAATATGTTTTGTCAACCATTAGTTGTAGATGTAAAAGAGTGCTTGATAGTAATAATTTCAAACACAGAACATCTCTTAAAATTAAAAAGAACTCTAAGCGTGATTTCATGTGACCCTTATAATGAAAAGATGGCGATGCCCGATTTACAATGGTACCCTTGAAACCTTAACCTGATAAAGATATGGAAGAAACCATCGGTTTTAAGACTCAAAAAGTGTGTGCTTCTTATAGGTAAGAAATTTGCAAGACCTTTTGAATAGAGCCTGCGAGTGAAAATAACCAGTTTAAAGACACAAAAACAGGGATATCTAATTCATAAGTGATCAGACAAAGTATTTAGGGGTACCGTTGTAAATCGGACATAGTCATCTTTGCAATTTGCATAGAAAATTCCTGAAAATAATTCTGACAATCTCTTTAAGGGTAAAAAAATGAACCTGGTGTTTGTTTAGTTGTTAGTTGACAGGTAAAATCCCCAGATATTAATCCTTCAACGTCTTTCACTGTTGTGCTATTCTTTTTTGATTTACAGTAACACATGTTCTTTGGTTGGCTCCAAGTAAATGCTTCGCAATTACTAAAAACTTTAAAGATAAAGAAAAAGTTCTCCCGCAAAGTTCGAGAACTTTTCAAATTACTCTGTTTAAACTATCTTTGAAACGAGTTCTTTATTGTTATAAAGTTTACATATATAAGATCTACGGATCTTTTCTTAAATCTTGATGTTCAGGTTGAATCCAGAAACCAGTGATCTAAAGAAGCACATGAAGATCTACTCATCTAATTCTATACTTGTTCCTCCTGTATACACATATATAAATATTTAATCAAGCTTTATCTGAGATCTTATTTGAGTTTAATTAAATTTTACTCTAAATGTATTATCCTGACTTAAAGTTTTATATTCTCAAGCCTAAAAAGCAAAATATTAGCATGCTTTTCTCCTTAATCAAAAATATAATTTTTTTTAATATGGTACTGGGGACACAAACATTTGTATTTTTTATGATCTGATAGTTACTTTTGAAGACATTTATTCCTGTTTCGAGGAATTTTAATAATGAAGACGACATTTTCATATTTTCCAGGAATGTTCGAAAATCCAGTGCCAGCAAAATATTATTTGCAAAAAAAAATCAAAATTAAAATAACAACTATTTACGAATGCGTCGAAAAATAATCGATGACTATTGTTTGTAATATCTGAATGGTTTGATATTAAATTGATATTTTTATGATTCGAGTCGTCTGTTGCGACTTTCTCTATTTGTATGGACTCATACGTTCTTCGGTACAAGCTTCGTTTTTAACAATTTTCTCATTATAGAGGCAACAGATAGAAGTAAGATTAGAAGCGATCAAGCGCGATTATTTTTCGCCGTAAGCCTATACCCCCTTACATTTTTTGCGAATACTCCCATTAAGCGTAATTTCAATAAACCTCTTTACTGTAAATCGGGAATTGCCATTTTTGCATTGAAATTACGTTTATAATCCCTTTAAATATATTATGATACCTTCAATATAATTCCAAGTATAGTCTTTGTCAATATCGAGACAGCTTGGATCCAAACATTCTGAAAAGAAAAATTGAAAAGTTGTGTTAATAACTTTGAACGCAAAATAGTAGCCGGGGGGAATAAAAGACTAGAAAAATAAAAATGAACTAAATCCAGATTAAGTTTGAATCAATTGGTATCAATTAACCTAGTTATGAATGTGCAGTTTGAGAATGAAAAAAAAATGAAAAAAACACGTCGTCGTCGCTTACAACGGAGTATTCATTTAAAACTCAGAATTGCTCAAAATGTCAACATGGAGACATCTAGCGGCCGTATCATTTTCCTCTGAAGCAACACATTATGTNATTATGTGAAAATAATGAGCTGGGCTTGAATATTTGAATCAGGGACATGCATCACACTTCTTCTTAAAGGTAGTATTCGCGAAAATTAATCGCTTTTGATTGCTACTAATCTTACTGAAGAACATAGCGTCCATACATATTCAGAAAGTTGCAATATGGGACTCGTATCGTAAAATAATTAATTTAATATCAAACTAATTTTAAACTTTAAAACTATGGGCTGCAATATCTGAATGATTTGTTTGAAAATAAATTGATTATTTTACGATCCGAGCCGTACATTGCAACTTTCTGAATATGTTCTTGTTCTTTATATATACCCCCTTCCATTTTTCGCAAACACTCCCTTTAACTCTAAGGGTAAAATCACAGAGGGGGATGGAAATAATTAATATGAGACAAAAATAGCAAAATCGGGATAGGACGTTACACGAAATATAAAGCATTTTGTTTTAATATTAACTTCATCATTTAATATTATGATTGTGAACGTTTGACATAAAAAATCTTGGAGTTCTCTTTAAAAAAAGATGATTTACATGTTTTACCTTTTTCTGTTGTAGTTGTAGTTGTAGTTGCTGTTGTTGTTGTTTTTGTTGTTGTTGTTGTTGTAGTTGATAAAAATAAATAAGATGAATACTTTTGAAAATTCAGTAAACAAATGAATCTATTTGATAGTTAAGGAGGGAAAGGGGGAACTCCCCCTGGACAAATTTTGGGCAAAACTGGAGAGAGCAGGATCCTTCTAGCTCTATTAATGTTGAGTTTAGGTGTTCACAAATGATAACTAATTTTTTTAAAAAAAACTAGGCTTATAGGGCGTTTCGCGCCCATCTTCTTTTTTAACTTTTAAGTGCGGCTTTATTTGAGAGCATCTTCTCTTTGTACAGTATAAAACAAAAACAAAACAAAGTTTACGGATTTAATAATATTTTTTCGCGCAATTTAAAATTTTTACAAAAATTAAAAACTTTTAAACACAAATGTTTGAAATTTTGATCATTTATAAACCTTTCCTGGGGCCACGTCGGGTCCCACACAAAATTTGGGCCTGATCGGTTCAGCCGTTTTGTCGTTTATTGGACACGAACAAACAAACAGAAATCAAGACAAGCTAAATTTATATATAGATGGCGCGTGTGATAATCAATTACTTTTGATAATTTTTTTACAACTTTTGTCTTTTTTGTACAGAAACCTCAGTTGAAAATTATAAATTATAAACAAGGAAAACATGAATATATTGTTCATATTGAAACAGAGAAAGCTTTTTATCGTAAATGCCTCTCTAAAAATTGTGTTACAATTACTTAATTAAAAGGAATTTTTCCTTTTATAATATGTGGAATTTTGTTCAAGTTTATATGTAAACTGTACAATGTTTATGTTCAATATAACGTTATAATATTTTTGACACGTAACCGGTTGTATTGAAATAAAATAAAACGAGAGCTTATGATCACCTTCGTTATTGTTCAACAAGTTCAACACAGCATTCGTAATTTGTCCACCTAAAAAAAGTTAAATATTTTTAGGATAAAATTAAATAATCAATTTCGTTATTGCTTTCTTACTTGTGCCAAACCGGCCTGAACTGTTCCCCATGAAATATGAAGATAGTAATAGTAAACGAATAAAGTGTTCAAACTCCATTGTGTTTCATACTTTTCCTCAAACTGGAAATCTGTTCTGTTACTTTCTATGTGTGCACTGCAGTGTAGTCTAGTAACAGCACAGAAGACATAAAAAAAATATTAATTAATTTAAAATAAGAATAAAAAAAGCATATATTAAATTCAAAATTTCATAGCATCTTTACTTAGCTTGAAAATATGTTAAAATCTATATTTATCTTAAAATATCCTAGAATCTATATTTATCTTAAAATATCCTAATTCAGTTTCAAATATCCTAGAGTACATATTTAGTTTCAAATATCCTAGAATCTATATTCAGTTTCATATATTCTAAAGAGTCTATATTCAGTTTGAAATATCTTAGTTTATATTTTTAGTTAAAAAATATCTTAGAATCTATATTTAGTTCGAAAAAAAATGAAAGGTTTGCTAAATCTTCTCGTAATGGGTCTAAACAGTAATTTAGTTTGGCATGAAATCAACATTTTAGGCAGTTAGTTTTGAGCTAAAATTGAGTTTCAGAAAAAAAAAAAATTGTTAAAAAGTTTTTAAAATGAGACATGGTGAACTTCAAGCCTCGACATGATTGCTTTGTATGAAAATATAAAGTAAAAGAATAACACATTATAAGTAAAGATACACTCTAAAAAATGCAATTTTGGTCTTTAGCATCAGGCATCAAAGTTCTTCTTTCATATTTCAAATTTCTTCTTTCATTACTCAAATTTTGTTAAATATTTTCCAAAATTACAATCTAACAAAACTTGTTAATAGCTTACACATTGTTCTCTCAGCATGTGTCAAACTTTGTTATATGACATCTTTCTTTTGTCATGTGACAGTTTTCTTTCATTGTAATTAGCCGATATTTTAGTTTGTGTAAGATTAAACAAATTTTGATTTATGATCAATCAAACGTTGAACCATCTGCCGGGCTGGCACGGCTCGCACGGCTGGCTGGAGGGGGAGAATCAGCTGACTTTCCAATTAGTGACAGTTTAGTCTGTTAGCCGACAGCGCTTGTACCTACGTCAATTCGATCTGGAAATTTGGAGATATCAAAAAGATTTAAAGGGAAACCTCCAAGAAACTGGAAGAACAAAATTAAAACTTGTTTAAGCCTTTGTACACTCTCTCAAACTAATGCTTGCATTTTCAATGCTTTGCTTGAAAGAGAGTATCAATGCAAAACCAAATCTTCCATAATTCAGACTGCAGAATCTACTTCTACAAGAATCAAATGTTGTCTAAATT